CATCCCATCACCATCATCACCAAAATCAGCATTGTCATCAATCAGCATCAGCATCATCATCAGCATCATCATCATCATCATCATCATCAGCATCACGTCATAACATCATCTCAGCATTGCCATCATCATCAGCGGTAGCGAGCGTCAGTATCATCAACATCAAACGTCATCATCATCATCATCATCATCAGCATCATCATAATCATCAGCATCATCATCACCTTATCAATCATCGTCGTCTCCTCATATAATTGTCAGCAGCATCAGCATCATCAGCATCGTCGTCATCAAACGTTAGCATCCCATCACCATCACAAAGCATCATCATCAGAATCATCAGCATCAGCATCATCACATCGTCATCATGATATCAGTGCTATCATCTCAGCAGCATTCGGCATCATCATCCTAATCATCATCAGCAATCAACAAGTAAAAATAAAAAAAATAAAAAAAAAAAAAAATAAAAAAAAGAAAAAAAAAAAAAAAAAATAAAAAAAAGAAAAAAAAATAAATAATAAAGAAAAAAAAAAAAAAACAAAAAAATAAAAAAAAAAAAAAATAAAACAAAAAAAAAAAAGTAAATAGAAAAATAAAAAAAAAAGAATGATTAAAAAATTAAAAAATGAAAATAGCCATCATAATCATCAGCATCACGCCGTCACAACATAAATCATACTCATCATCAGAAAAATCATCACCATCGTCATCATCGTCGGCATCCTCCTTCTCATCATCACCAGCGGAAACGACAACAACATCAGCATCATCATCAGCAGCACCATCACCACCATCATCACCATCATCATCACCACCATCATCATTATCAGATTCATAATCCTCATCCTCCTCATCATCATCGTCATCGTAGACGTCGTCGTCGTCATCGTCATCGGCATCGTCGTCAGCAGAATCATCATGATTGATACCGCCCTCACCACCACCACCATCCCTACTTTGCCACAATCGCCCGTGCCTCGGCACACTATGGGTTTGCCCGCGGGAGCCCCAGGCTCATCCGCAAGGCCACGGGGGACAGGGCAGACCACCTTCCCCAGCCTGCCCCTCATGGCGGGAGCAGAGGGGGGCAGAGAAGCCTGAGGAGGGACAGAAGAAGGGGGTCGATGACGATGACGCGTTTCCGAAGGGGGGATCCAGAGAGCGCGAAAGCATCAGGCATGGCGGAGATGGAAGAGAGAAAGGCGAATGACACGGGAAGGTGCACCTCCGCGAGAGCCTACGATGACCCTCGTTCGGAGAGAACCCCATACCGTCGACCCGAACCGCAACCATCCGCCATCGAGCCGGCGAAAAGTCCGGCGAGCGCCAGTGGTCACAACAGGGTGGCCTCGCGGAGTTTCCACCTCGGATGCGGCGCCACCCCTGCATTGATTCTCCACCTCCTCCCTCATACCTCCTCCCTCCTGCTCGTGCTCCTTCTCCCCTCCTCCTCCTCTTCCTCTTCTCCTCTCCTCCTCCTCCTCCTCCTCCTCCTCCTCCTCCTCCTCCTCCTCCTCCTCCTCCTCCTCCTCCTCCTCCTCCTCCTCCTCCTCCTCCTCCTCCTCCTTTCTTTTCCTTCTGAACAGCTCCTCCCTTTCGCACCCCAAGGCGTGTCGGTAGGCGGGCTGAGCGTTTCGCCCGAGACTTCCTCATCATCTCTGACCCTTAAGCTGAAAATATGCAAGAGCTTCTCGGCTGAGGGTGGGCCGCCTTCAACATGTGAACCTCGCCTTGGCGCCACACACATTCGTTTTAAAGCATGGGAGAGCTTCACGGATGGATGGCGGTCCACTTTCAAAATGTGGCTCTCGCCTCAGCGCCGCGCACATTCGTTTTAAGAGTTCGCAAAAGTTTCAAGGATTCGCATGACCACCGTCGCAGAAATGGTGTTGCGGCTCGCTGTCTGACTGTCAGGGCGCAGCAGTCACGTGCACTGGAAGTGTTGAAGTCCCAAGAATTGAATTCTGGCACGATTTAGGACCGTCAAGACACATCAGTACGGGCGATTCTCGGCGTTGAAATCCCAAGAATAACATTCTAACTCAGTTCGGGATTTTCCAACGGTTGTCTTCCAACGCGGTACTTCCCGTAGTGAAAATGAATTCATGTAGGGGCCTATGAAGAGGGGACTTGGAGGGAAGGTTGACTGCAATATATTGAATGAGTCCTGGGTTTACACTAATGCTCCTCCTGCTCCTCCACCTCCTCCTCCTCCTCCTCATCTTCCTCCTCCTCCTCCTCCTCCTCCTCCTCATCATCATCATCATCATCATCATCATCATCATCATCATCAGCATCATTATCCTCAACATCATCATCAGAATCATCAACAGCATCAGCATCACCATCATCATCACCTTCATCAGCATCCTCATTATCATCAGCATCATCAGCATCACCATCTTGAACATCAGGATCATCATCATCGTAATGATCAGCATCATCGTCATCACCACCATCACCATCGCCATCACCAGAACCATCACCATCGCCATCACCACCCTGGTACTACTTCCCTCCACCATAATGCCTCTGATCAGCACCATCGCCATAGTCATCAGCATCTTCATCATCATCATCACCATCATCCTCCCCATCATCATCAGCAGCAGCATCATCAGCATCATCATCACCAAAAACATCATAACTATCATCATCAACCTCATCATCATCAGAATCGTCGTCATCATCTTCATCATCAGCAGCAGCAGTAGCATGATCATAAGCAGCTTCATAATAATCAGCATCATCAACATCATCACCTTCACCATCACTATCAATCTCCTCCCGCCTTATCCGACTTGCCATTATCATCACCGTCAACAAATACTTGTTCCGTCCTCCTCACCTTCGTCCTCATTCTATTCATCCTCCCTCTTCCTCCCCCTCCTCGGAGTCCTCCTCGACGGGACCAAAAGGTACCGATACCGCCATTCCCTGGACCTTTCACGGGATGCGCTCAGACCAGCATCACGAGGCGAATCCAACGGTGGCGACGAGGGCCTCCCAGGAGGCCCAAAAAGGCGGAAAAAAACGGAAAGGTAGCGGTATATGTACCTCCCCCTTCTCGACGTCCTCCTAGCCCTGTCGCTGATATATGGGCACATGCATCGTGGATGGAACAGCGGATGGAGCTCTCTCCAGCACGCAAACCAATCACAGCGCGCGCGCAAAACCTCAGCGGCTACGTACGTGATCCGAAGGGGGAGAGGGTGACACCACACACGAGGCCCAGCAGGGCCGTTCGGGAACAGCCCCCGCCCGCACTCTCCTCCCCGAGGCCCGCGACCGGGTTCTTGACCCCTGCGCGCGAGAAGGAGACCAGCTGCGACGGCAGCGTGGCGGAGAAGAGCAGGCACTGCCTCGGGAGGAAAGAAAAGGGGATGGAAAGAAGGGGGGACCCTCCCTCCCTCCCGCCGTCCCGCCCTCCCGCCCTCCTCCTCCTCCTCCTCCTCCTCCTCCTCCTCCTCCTACTCCTACTCCTCCTCCTCCTCCTTCCTCCTGCCTCCTGCCTCCTGCCTCCTCCCCCCTCCCTCCTCCACATCCATCATCCCTCCTCGGGGGGAAGCGAAGCGAACGCCCGAGTCGAGCGCGCTCCGCCAGGAAGCCCGACCGTGCCCATTAGGCCATGTCGTGGAGGCCGTGGCCTCGAAAATGAAAGTCTCTCACCTGCCCGTCGCCTCGGCGAGGCGCCCCTACCGAGAGGGGGAGGGGGAGGAGGGACGAGAAGGAGGGGCTCCACCAGAAGAACCTCCCTGCAGGGTGATGAATTCTCCTCGTCGTCGTCGCCGCCACCGCAGTCGTCGTCCCTTCGTCCCTTCGCCAGAAGAGCTGTCTGCCACGTTTCCGCTGGAAAACGGCTTCTGCACATGCCCGCGCCCCCGCGTGCCTGCAGCGGCGGCTGCGCTGCTGGGCCTTTTCGTGCTTCCTTCGTGCGCGTGTCCCGCGTCCTGCGAGGCAGAGGCCCCCGACGCAGCGAGCCTCTGCACGCGCCCGCCTGCTTGACGAATCCCTGCGCGTCTTCCCTGCAGCTCCACAAGGAGACAGAGTCACAGGTGCGGTGACTGGGTTCCGCGGCATGCCCCCTGGCCCAACCCCCCCGGGCCTTCCCCCAAGGCTCCCCCGTCCCCAAGACACGCCCCACCCCCAGGGCGGCAGCGCAACTACACCTACGTCGGGCCCGCCCCTGTTCTCTCAAATGGGAGCCATCATCGCATCTCTCTCCGAACGGTGCTTGTGCTTCTTCGTGTCACTGCTGACCCATCGCATCCGTCACCTGGTCTCTGTATGCACACACACACACTTATACCCACCTCTCCGAGGGAGAGGATCTCAGAGCCGATGACTGGTGTCGCCGAAATCTGTGTATCGCCGTTCCGCATGGGACATACTCAAAATTCCAAATTCCAAACATCAAATCGGACGCAACCAACCGCACATTGCGACATCACGGTCTGCAAGCCGCATGGCGGTTCAACATGTATGTGCGAGATGCTGGATAACACCATGTGTCCCAACGGTTTGACACATATGTTAGCCATCGTGGACCCCGAACAAACAAAAAAACAAAAAAAAAAAATAAGAACAAAAAAACAAAAAAAAAAAAGCAAAGTCAAAAAACAGAACAACACAAGAGAACAGAAAACAAAAAAAATAAACGTCAAGCAAAATTGAACAAAAAGATAAGAAAACAAAAAAACCCCGAAGAAACCCACCGCAAGAGACCAATAATTTAAGAAGTGCCACAACTCCTGCATCACTACAATGATTTTCAAACTAATTTCTGTTCGCAGTGAGTTGTCCACTCCACTGCTCGCGCAAGCATCCCACCCACCCACCCGCAACTTGGTTTGCAAAATCTCTTAAGACCGTGACGGTGGGTACCACATGGCACTTGGCAACAACAGCGACGCCGACGACGACAGCGACAACGACGATGACGACGCCGCCGACAACGACTACGACGACACCGAAGACGTCTCCAACGACCTCGACGACGCCGACAACGACGACGACGACGACACCGACGACGACGACGACACCGACGCCGCACGACGCGACGACGATGCGACGCGACAACGATGACGGAGCCGACGACGACCAGCTAGAGAACGACGTCGACGACGACGACGTCAACGGCGCAGACGACGGGACGCGCGACGAGAGCCGCGGCGCGCACGACGACGCGCCGTCGACGACGGCGCGAGAACGACGAGGACGACTCGCCAACGAAGGCGATGACGACGGGGAGGAGGGAGACGACGACGTCGAACAACGACGAACAACACGTACGGACAACGACGAGGGAGGAGGGAGGACGGCGACGACGCGAACGCCGAAAAAGGAGGAAGGACGGCGACGCCGACGACGACAACGACGAGGGAGGAGGGAAGACGACGACGACAACGACGACGACGACGACGGCGACGAAATAGGAGGGACGACGACGAGACGCCGACGACGGACGACGACGACGACGACGAGGGAGGAGGAGGAAGGACGACCACGGCGACAACGACGACGGAAACGACAACGACGCCAAAGAGGACGACGACGACGAACACGAGGAAAGACAGAGGACGACGTAGGCGACGACGACGACGACGACGCAAGAGCGCGCGCGCACGCTTTTGTTGAAAACCATTGTTGCGAAACTTTGTGTTTTTGTAGGTTTTTTGGACACACGATGTCGAAATCGTTCCGAAGCCGATGGGTTTTAAAGGATTCGGGCATACCCGCGCGACGACGCGCGCGTCTGCACTTCGTCTCTTGTTTGCAGAGGATTCTCGCGACGGCACACGCGCAAGGGCGTTCGACAGATTTCGACATGCGCGCGCGAAGTCCGTTTGGTAGCATTTTGTGAAAATCTTTAAAACCTATGGTTTTCTTAAGATTTCGCAAGAGCTCGCGCGTAAGCTTTTCTAGCAACTCAGTGTTGCGAAACCCTGTGTTTCTGTATGTGTTGTTGGAAACTCGATTGCGAAATCCTTCCTCGGTTTTTGAAGGATTTCGGCATGCGCGCGCGACGACGCGCGCGTGCGCACTTCGTCCCATGTCTGTTGCAAGGGATTCGCGGAAAAGTGTTATGTTGGAACAAAAGGTGTCCCCGCGTATCGTTGTTTACAAGGTAACCTCTGCGGAACTGATACCGGCCCCCCTGGGATAGTGTAAATTCATTTTCGGGATGGACATGTGGTCACAATCGTAAATGATTAACATACCCGAAAGGGGGGCGGA